AACAACAACAACACACTAATAGAACACAAAACAACTAAAAAAACCAAGGCTAGACAAATAGTCGATCCCGGCCGGCAACCTAACCCCTCCACACCACTGCTTTCCCAAACTCAGTCCACACAACGGCCCGAGATCAGAAAAGTCGGTCGACCCCTAAACCCCAACAACAGAGGAAGAGAAGACACAAGGGGAAGGTACGCCATCCTCCACCCGGACCGGCGCCACAAGGCTGTCGGAGTCGATGTCCCTCCCGACGCACCAGAACCCACTACCGACAACCCGGAATTAGATTACCCGACACCCAGGACGGCAGCTACACAAACACCGAAGCCCGCCCTGGTCGCCATCCTCTTCCAACGCCGCAAAGAATAGGACATCTGGATAGGAAATGAGCGTCATGCTGGTTCTGTCGAGTTCCCGCTGGTTCAGTAGACGATAGAAGAACGGAGATCTATCCCGAACATACTATCATCTCATAAGTAGAGGAATCCGACAGAATAAGGTGCCGGAGTGAAGAAGCCACAAAAGCACCTGCCTGGAACTTTAGAAAAAGGTCGAAGGGCACGAAGTGGGTGAGCCGCAAGGCGAATGGTCCGAAAATATCCGACACAAAATTGGGAGGATGACCGCGCAGCCCAACGCCAGCCACCGTCGAAGTACCCAGCGTCGGCTGGGGAAGGTCCTACGAGCGAGAAAATGGGGAACCGAGTCAGAAATTAGGTTAGAGGAATTTGGGGGCGGAGAGCCTCAAGAGAGAGAGAGTTGTGAATGATTGTTACGAATCGTGTATCGAGTATCGAATTTTGTATCAAAACCGAATTAAAGAACTTAATTTAGACACTATGGTTTGCTTGGAAACAAGCTTTTCTTAAGAAATGTGATAACAATTCCAAAGATAGTCTGAAAAAGTGTACCAAAAACGACATAAAAATGACTCTACTAACTACCCAAACACCTTTGAAATGAAAAGAAAACCGAAATAAAAACTGCTCCCGCCCAGGCCTTAGCGACGCTAAGGGTCATTAGTGGCCGCTAATCAATTCAACACAAAGCCTCTGTCCCCGCTATCTTCCTTCTAGCGTCGCTGCCCTCCTTCTAACGCCGCTATCCAACCTTAGCGCCGCTAAGGGTCCTTAGGGCGCTAACCCTTGGAAAGCTGCTATTTTTCTGCAGCTTTATTCTTGTTCGTCGAGCCCGGTTATACGCGTTCTTCAGCTGACGGCCCTCATCCGCATCATTCCCGTCCCCTTCAAGAGTGTCCTTGTCCTCAAAGACAAAATTCGGAAATTGAATTTGCATATCGTATAAACTTTCCCAAGTCGATTCCTCTTCCGGAAGTTGGTCCCATTCGACTAAGACTTCCCAACAAAAGCGACCAGTCCCTTTTAACCTTCGATAATCCAAGGCTCGTATTGGACGTGTTATTATAGTGCCTTAAGAATTCATTGCCGGCAACCTCGGTTGAACTTCTTGATGCATGTGTTCCTCATCGTTACCCTCCAATTTGTCGACTCTAATGGCAAAGATTTGACTGCCTTGCCTCCCCAATTTCTGCAAGCTTTGAGCACTCATCTTCTTCATTCTCTCATTTCCTCCGGTTGATAATTTAACCATTCCATCACCCCAATGAAATTCTATTGTTCCCACTCTATAGTCCGTAGTAAACGGACCCAATCCTTCCAACCATTGAACCCTCAAAACCACGTTCGGACCTACCAAAGGTAGTGCATACAAGTCGACCTTTAAAGTGACCCCTTGTATTTTTATTGGCACACCCCGGTAAAACTCCGAGCATTTCAAACTCTCACCATTAGCAACCCTCACTTCAAACGACTCAACTTTTGTGACATGTAAATTTAGCTTATCGGACAATGATGAATTAATAAAATTATGAGACGAACCATTGTCGATTAGCACAATTACACGTCGATCACGAACCCAAGCTGGCACCTTCATCGTCTTGGGTCCTGGAGTTCCCGACATTGCATGGATCGATATATCTGGGTCCTCCTCATGAGATTTGATTGCTCTCTTCAATTCATCCACCACTACTTCACCTTTTGTGGACTCAATGCATTCAATGAAGAATGATCGCCTTTCTTTGCACCGATGACCCGGTGTGAACTTCTTATTACAATTAAAACACAAGCCTTTCTCCCTCCGTTTTTGCATCTCTTCCCAAGACAAGCGTTTAACCTCTGATGAAAGGTCTTTTCCATTGTCGGTTGATGTGTTGGCTCCCGTTCTTTGAACATTAGAAGGAAAAGTTATCGGTCGTCTCACTTCCGGTTGATTGACCCTCCGTAATGCCATCAAGTGATCA